AGTAAAATTTGGGGCAGGTGTTACAATGAACAATGTTTGTAAAAATAATTTCTGATGTTGTTTTGGTGTTCTAAAATGCGTTCTTTAAATTTTTTACACATTCTGCCTACATATTATTTACAGCATGGGCAGTGGAGCTGATATATCACATTATTTGTATCAAAGTTAATATCTGATTTTATAAAAAATAGTTTTTTTGTTATTGCACTTTGAATTGTTTCACTTTAAAAAGTCTCTGCATTTTGCAGGCTTTTTGCAAACCATTTTGGCACCAAGTGACACTAAAAAATGTACAAAAAAGCACTTTATATAAAAATGACAAAGGTTTTAATTCACGCAACAGGTGTAAAGCCTACAGAATGCAGAGACTAAAGTGAAACAATTTCAAAGTGCAATAACAAAAAAACTATTTTTTATAAAATCAAATATTAACTGTGAGACAAAAAATGTGATATATCTGCTTCACTGCCCAAGCGGTAAACAATATGTAGGCAGAATGTGTAGAAAATTAAAAGAACGCATTTTAGAACACCAAAACAACATCAGAAAAAAATTAACAAACACATAGTCCCCATTCATTGTGACACCTGCCCCAAATTTAACTGGAAAGATTTTTACTATATAGGTTTAGAAAAAGTGGAGAATCATTGGAGGGGGGGGGAGGGTAATTTAATTTAAAAAAAAGAAACATACTGGATTAATACCCTTAAAACATTACAGCCCGAGGGACTTAATGTTGATATTGATGTATGGTGTTTTTTAGATTCATCTATTAGTAAGAGCAGGTTTCACACACCTTTTATGTATTATTAACCCCTTAAGGTCACATGACATGTCTGACATATCATGATTCCCTTTTATTCCAGAAGTTTGGTCCTTAAGGGGTTAAGAGCAGGTTTCACACACCTTTTTTCTTTTTTTTTTGTGTGTCATAAATCTTTTATGTATTTGTATATGTTTTTTTAGCATCCTGTTTTCTATCCAAATGCCCATTTTTTCTATCCCATAATTGTTATACATATGTAGGTAGGTATACCCCCCTTTTTTATTATATATATATATATATATATATATATATATATATATATATATATATATATATATATATATATATACATCGTAGTAGCTTGCACTCCAAAAACACTTTTGTGGTGCCCGGTACTGGTTGTGGCACTTATGAAAGCTCCATGTTGGAGCTGAAATGTTGATATTTTATATGGAATAAATAAAAGCTACATTTTACTACTTCAACCAAGTCCCAGGAGTGCGATTGTTTCTACACCCATATATATATATACATTTCAGAAATTAAAGGATATATATATATATATATATATATATATATATATGTTAATTTTAATATTTATGGATAAACACATGTATATTACTATTTTTATCATCTAAACAGTAATTTTATATTAACATCCTATTAAAGGCTAGTATTGATCATTCAAGAAGAATTGTTCAGAAAAATTAAAAATTATTTTTTTTAAAAGTATTATTGAAATCTGTCAGGCATATCTCCCCCTTCTATCTCCTTTTATTGTGGTACTACCCTTATGGACTAAATTTTTATGAACTATCCATGGAACCGAATGATCTGCGGAATGGAACGCAGTTGGAACACAAACATCATCACGCATGGGACGTGATGATGTTATCGTATAAAATATACTGATATGATCAGGCGACCACGGTGGAACGCATGACAGAAAAGGCAGAACCAGGAAATAAATCGGACTTCACTGAATACAGCTGAGAAGGCAGCCAGAAGCTGGCAAAAGGGTATATAAGGAACATGGAAGTGAGAAAGGGGTCATATGCACTTTGTACTTTGTATGAACAACACTGAATTGTCCCTGAGGAAGTCCCTGGGTGGGACGAAATGAGTAGGACTTATCTTATGGTGACATACTACATCTGCTAATATAGACCTTGATGTAAGTCAATAAATCTGCATTTTACACTGTAATTGTTTGATAATTCATTGGATTGCACCTTGTCTTTCCTTATCTCGAGATACACCAAGCTCCAGATTGTGAATGGACCTACATCCACTATACTGAAGGCTCTTTTATGCTTTACAAATTGTGAGTGCCCATTTGGCAAATATTGAAGATTTTATTGAGGAAATCTTCAGGGTTTTCTACACTTGAAGGGAAGTCCATCAACATTTTATTATTATATTAGTGCACTTTAATCACTAAAGCACTTTATATAAACGTGAAAGTCATTTCTTGTAATATCTATACATATTAAAAATAAACTTAAATGGCAATGTCCAATTAATCTCATTATCTACCCTATACTTTCATAGGGATATCCAGAATAATATATTGCACCATATTTGTTACTCTTTGAACCTTGATATACGACTGATCGAGTAGGATCTCTGTCGCCTTAATGGCCTTTTTGCTGTTTCCACTTGAGCTAGGTCCATGGCTCAATAATATGTGAGTGTCCTTGTCACACTACTGAATTATACCTAATTTTAAGGTTTTACACTATTGCACACATTTATTTTTTAAAGGTATACATCCTTTCTACATATAGTTAAATGCGACTATTTTTAAGATATTCATCCTGTTTTTTATCTTTTGCACTTTAAATCCTTAATTTTATATTAGCGCTACACCATCTTTTGTATTAGCATACACATATAATGCCAGAGATAACAATTCATAATGAAAGACTGCTAGGTTTAATGTCCTTGCTCAGCTCTGTAACAGGAGTTAACCCAATGCACATCCTTGTTAGAAAAGTGGTTTGCTGCTTCCGAACCAGCTTCCCCCTGTTGTTTATTTTTTAATAGAAGAAATGCAAGCAACTATGCTGCCACCCCTTAAACATGCTAGTCGCATAGTGTTAAAACACATGTGACAGTATCCAGTGCTTTGATTTATTTCAGTACCTTCCAAATGGTTTCTTTGCTTAATGCCCAGTGTAATTTTCTACTCTTTGACCGCATATCATTATTGCAGACTGGACATGTTCAGAGCTGTTCCGGTGCTGTTTAAAACTATATTCTGCCCTACCAGGCTCTAGTTCACCCTGCCTAGCCTGCAAACTTTGTTTTTCCTGAAAAGTTTTTTATTAAGGGGTATAGATCAGCACATTAATGCATCCCTCTTCAGGTATAACCTTATGATTCAAAATGGTCCCACAATATCCGATCTAACTCTATTGTGTCTTCTTGATCTAGCTTTCAGATACAAAGAGTTGCAAGTCTTTTGTGTCTGTGTTTTATTCAGCACTACAGAAACCTAGCAGAATATCAAAGACGTGTTAACGGTGGCATAGGCACTCAGAAACCAAAGGGGAATTAATAATGAACAATAAACGCATTATTGTGCAGTAACACAAAGGTTGAGGGGAAAGGTCAATGCTTTGAGACAGTACTTTGAGTATAGCCACCAAAATCCATCTACACCTACTCTTTCCTAAAAGTGAAAATGATCCCTTACTTATCCTACATGTGTCTTAAATTGGAGTCTTATAAACATGCAGTCTGTTACACTGGCGTGACTCATGTTTTCATTTTATACACATCCGTAACACTGTGTAGAGCTGCATCAAAATTCAGTAAACATTCAAAAATGTTGTGGATGCGACACTTAAGTCTGGAAGGATCAATAGGCCTTGTCTTTTATCCTTAGAGTTGCATTCATATATCCATTTATATATCCATTCATATATCCAAAAGCTTGATGACGAGGGAATGTGACTCAAAACTACTATAGTCCTTATTTGATCAAAAACCCTATGGCTTTATATAGCTAAGGCCTTGGCTTCACATCAATAGATGTACTGGTAACAATGTAACCTAGCCACAGTAATGTTCCTATGCTACCAAACTGATAAGCAAATATTCTATATTTTAATATAGAAAAGTTGCCAACCGTAAATGTTATTATAAGATTGGTCTACAAATAGCTACACATGATTTTAGCTTTGCTTGTAATTATATGGCCGGATAGGGAGATAAAGAATAAATTGAAGGAAGAAGGGGGTTGTAGCTATAAACTAAATCTGAGAATCCGTAGGTTGTTCATTCCAAAAAAAAACCAGGAGAATTACAGGGAAAAAGAGCAGGCAATTAGCCGGGGGTTCTGGGATATTCCAGCGCTTTAGAAAGTAAGGTTCACCAAGGACACACATGTCTGCTGTCTTAGAGCAGCAGAAAGGAAAAGAAAATATCAAGTAAACAGAAGACTAAGGAGGGAGAGGAAACATTTGGTTATAATTTGTTTATCTTTTACTTATTAAAACTTTGTGTCATCACCGGCTCTTTTTAAGGGTTATTTGACAATACCTTTATCTGGCACTAAGAAACCACCCCACTCTATACTTCTGCATTTTCAGTTTCATTCAACTTAGACAGCAGTCAATATATTTGTGGACCCAGCCAAGGGAAAGCCTCTAACCTCTGAAGACCCAGCAAATAGCAGACATGCCTCCCTTGTTACCCCTTTTGGTGACCAAAGGTCTGACCTAAACTCTCTCCCTATAAGACCGAGTTAAGGCTCAGCCTCTTTCACTCAAACAAAACTTACACAAGGTGACTACCTGGTTATGGCATTTTTATGTACACCACCATGCCCAGGGAATGATATAATCTTTCCCTGATGATGAATGGCATATGGGGTGCATAAGTGGGCCACTAGTTTTGACAATTTAGGCTAGTTGTTTAGGTTAGCTGTTTAATTCCCTATTTGCTACTGGAATACAGGCATGCAATCGGACCATTTGTCTCTATGTGTCACAACTACTGTATGACCTAACACGCAAAACTTTATTAACACAAACAACATATGCCGGGCCTTAGAATGGCCGGACCTAACATAAAAGAGAATGGTCATATAACAAGCCAAGGTCGGGGATACAGAATGAGACAATACGAATATACTAGCCAGATGTTAGGATACCAGAAGAAGGGAAATTCCAAAAAATAAGCCAAAGTAAAAACAAAGAGAATGTTACCTGCGCTCTGGCCTAAATCCTTATGTACATTTAAACAAAATGGAGGCTCTTTAGTTTTATTCGAATGGCCATTGGAATAAAACTAAAGAGCCTCCATTTTGTTTAAATGTACATAGGGATTTAGGCCAGAGCGCAGGTAACATTCTCTTTGTTTTTACAGGGTTTAAATATGCCTCTCAGTGCGGTGATTGGTCAGAGCATGGCCTTTGACCCCCAAACAATCGACATTGTGGCACCATCTTTAATGTGGGCAATGTGCCCATTTTTAGTAAGAACGGGACTGCAGTAGCCAGCGTCCCTCCTGATGGGAGGATCAAGCGGCAAGCAGCGATCCAGGTAAGTGTATATCTCCCTTTTCATCGCGACCGCCTTGCTATTGTGCGACCGCGCCGATCGTGGACTTAATTGTCTCTGTAGTATTGGCAAAAGACATCCTCAATGGACTTCAATGCTGTACTTTCGTGTATGTGTGAGAGTTCAGAAGTGACATTGGCTGTTGGCGTTTCAGGACCAGGAGCCAATGTTACGGCTGAACTCTCACACCTAAATGGAACCCACCCGGAGAAGATGGCATTGCTCGCGAGGGACATGTTCAGGTAAGTAGAACTAACTTTTGCTTAACTCCCGGCCAACCGCAAGGTTATTGTAAGGGTATTTGCAAATTCTGCAAAGTACCCAGACGGTGACAGTGCTGCTTTAAGGAAGATCTCCTCTAATATGTTTTATTGTTCCCCACAGCAAGCCACCTAAAAAAAAAAAGTTTGTCTGGGATACAGGAGTTTTCCTGGTATAAGCCCAGACTGTGAAAATCAAACGTGTACTTGTTCATTTATAGGTCTGTTATCTTGACCTTAGTTCCTACCTAGCACTATATTTATTCAGGATATTCCCTGTATTTGAATACAATGGTTTGCTGACCTGCAGCTTCTGAGATACAGTCCTTTGTCCAAGCCAATATTATGATTACTTGCTTGGCTTTTTGAAAATGTTTATTGGGTTTGTGCAGCTCAGTATGTTTTTTATATCTATTACCTGTATTTTAACTCCCTCCCTCTATAAATACTGCTTTGGCATTTCCTCTAGGTAAATGCTGCCATGCTTGATCAGGAATAAGGGATCATTAACCATGGCATTATTGCATTCACACCCTTCTGCTATGAGAATTATTAAGCTAATTATAAAGACTACCCAATGGGGAGTTATAGGTAAATGCTACCATATGTAAATGCTACCATGGTTAATGTTGCCATGGTTAATGATTAGGAAAAGAAAATTACAGTACAAGTACAAGTATAAAGCAATTTTAATTAAAGGACCACTAGTGTCACCCAGACCACTTCAGCTCAATGAAGTGGTCTGGGTGCCAGGTCCGCCAGGTTTTAACCCTTCAGATGTAAACATAGCAGTTTCAGAGAAACTATGTTTACATTGCAGGGTTAATCCAGCCTCTAGTGACTGTCTTCCTGATAGCCACTAGAGGTGCTTCCCCGATGCTCAATGCGAAAATCGCATTGAGCACGCAGAACGTCCATAGGAAAGCATTGAGAAATGCTTTCCTGTGGGCGTTTTTAATGCGGGCGTGGCTCCGGCCACTTGGAAGCTTATGACGGAGGGGGAGGAGAGGTCACCAGCGCTGTATAAAAGTAAGTGTCTGAAGGGGATTTAAAAGTAAGTGGCTGAAGGGGGGACCTAAGGACTATATAGTGTCAGGAAAACAAGTTTGTTTTCCTGACACTATAGTAATCCTCTAATAGATATACTTATAAATGTTTATTAGCTGTTAGAATGCACTATTACAGCAATTCTTTAAAAAAAAAAAAATAATTTATATTGGTAAAGGAATTTGTGCTGTTGTCTTTATATAGTAATAAAATGAAAATAGTAGTAGTATTAATAATTAGACTTTGAAATTTGTTTGAAACGAGCTACATTTAGGATTTGACCTGATAGCGTGAATGGTCAAATTCCTGAACTCTGATCTGAATTCGAATCACAAACCAACAAAAACACACAAGATCCAATACTGTTAATTTTGGTTCCTGCTTCTGAATTCCACCCATGGAGAGGGGATTGAAGATAAAAAAAAGACGATCCATGGCTATGGGACAGTCACTTAACGTTAATTTTATTCACAGATCAGCAATAGAGGGAAAAAAGAGAAGCAGCAAAATAATAAATCTTTATTTATACAGAGTGGACTACAATTCAGAGTAGGATTTGACAGGGAAATAACTTGTTCAATTTTATTATACCTTAGTCTTGGGAGATTTATCATGGGTAAACTCACGAAGGAACAACAAGTTAAAAAAAGTGGAATATTTACTTTCAAAACTGAGACAACTATTCAGCGAGAGGATAATTCCATGAAATTCCCAGATTAATTGGCTGCCACATTCACCCGACCTTTCAGCTCCAGATTATTTCCTGTGGGGAAATCTGAAGAATCAGGTGTAGGTGAACAAACCGTCTACAACTGAGCAGTTCAAGGAGAATATGCGTGCAGAAATTTGACTTTGCAAGGTGGCAAATGTAGCTCATTTAAAAGATGTAATCTTCCGTACCTATTCAACAAATCTCCACACTTTAAGCATTCAATGTATGTAATATCGTATTGTTGAAATTGGTTCATTAATGAAAAAACTATGGACTCCTCAAAATCGACTCTTATTTTGTGACCACAATGTATATTATAGATAGATCTTTACCTTTTTCCTTCTATTGGTTACTTCTTCTCACTTGATCTGTGAACCAGATGGTAGGAAAATGTTCCATTTAGTGTACTGAAAAATGTACAGTTTACTGAAAAATATATACATAAATTATAGCATGTAGTACACTGATTGGCCAATTTCTGCTCCTTTTTGGCTCATCTGATTTGGTTTAAAAAATGAACATATGGCCAAAACTGAAGTGTCACGCAAAATGCTCTACTTTTGGGAAAAGAAAAATCTCAAGTGCATAATTGTAATAGTGATATCACACACAGTGTGTCAGGACTATGCACACATATCATAGCACACATAGTATACAGATGACCTAAATAGATCAAAGTTGAGTGCATTGCAGGACATCATAGCAGATGGCATTAGGCGTACACGCAAAACGAAAACTTCTGTCAGAATATTTTTTTGCTGGGTTCATATTAAATTACAGAAGGCAGTTCATTTGCTATTACATCATTTTTTGGGAATTAAAATATTTAGCAGTATGGGGGCAGCATTTATCATAAAGTAATTTGTAAAGGGATGTGTAAATTAAGATTACTTATATATTATATTAAATTTTTCTACATGGGTTTACAAGTAATGCTATAATTACAGATATTAACATATCATAAAAATAACATTATATCAAAAATATTTTAAATGCATGTGGAAAAATGTTAGGCTTTGAAATGCCAAATAGAAGTTAATAGAACACTCCAGGCACCAACATGACTTAAGTGCATTTGATTGGTTTTAGTCTGATGTTTAGGCTGTATATTTCTCCATATTTAAATATCAGTTTTGCCAAAAAAGTAAAAGCTCTTGCGGTAAACCCTCATTGGCTTAGCTACACTGTTTACTTTCCAATCAGCAATATATTTTGTGAAATATGGTGGAGTGGCTAAGGGGATGAAGTTTCTTTTTTTTAAGCAAAATTAAAGAGATTTACAAGGAGAAAAACACAGCATAAGAGTAAGAGTTCAGAGGTAACCCAAACTCCCAAATAGGAAGAGATGATATGCAACCCTTTAGAAGAGTGTTTCCAGTATGTGTCCGCAGCCGAAAGTTGTAAGGCATGGCACTAGAGTTGTCTTTTCTCAATTGATTTTCTACCCAGAAATGAAACTAAACTTCATAAGGAAATTAAATAAAGGGGATAAGGAGGTGAAATAATCAATTGTTAAAACAACATCATCAGCATATGCTGCTGTTTCATAAAAATATTGGCTGATTTGTATACAAAGGATTTCAGGATGTTCCCTAATCAGATGAAGGAGAGGTTCTAATGAGAGCTCAAATAAAAGAGAGGAAATGGGACACCTCTACCTGGTACCAATATAATGAGAGAATAGTGAATGCTCAGATCCCGGTATAACTAATAGGACAAATAAATTAAAATAAAATATTTTTATGACCATAATAAAGTGAGGAGGGAAGCCTTGGAAAAGTCCAAAGAGGTACGACCATCAAGTCTATCAAAGACCTTCTCTGCATCCAAAGAAAGAAATAGAGAATGCATTCTGACAGACCTGGCCATCTAAACCATATCCAAGACTCTGCATATGTTCTTGTAATACTGGCAATTGGGGAAAAATTCCACCTTGTCTCGACTAATCAAATACTTAAGTAAAGGATTCAAGCGATTTTGCTAAATGTTAGCCAAGGGCTGAACATCTGAATAAATAAAGGAAATATGTCTATAATTACCCACATAAGAAGGACCTGTTATTTTATTTGGTAGTAAAACAATGTTTGCCATTGCCACCTTAGGAGAGAAAGGCTCAGCCGTGAAGCATTTGTTTCATAGTTCTAAATGTGGAGACAATATTTTTCTAAATGTTTTCTAACAGTTATCCAAAAAGTCATCTGGACCAGAGTCTTTGTTTACCTTAAGGGAGGAAATAGCAAATAACTCTCCATCTTATGTAATCTCAAAACATAGTGTCTTTCAGAGAGGGAGGCAAATAGACTGAGGCAAAAAACCTAGCCAGTGCAACACTGTGAGATCCATTAGAGATAGGTGCTCTGGAGAATGGTTGTATAGATTTGTATAAACTCAATAAAAACTTGGGTGATCCAATCATGGGTGGTAATTATGTTTCCTCGTATCCCAAAATGCAGTGAGAGGTTTGGTGCCACTGGCCAATAGTGTATCCATTTTATTTGCTTTTCACAGAAAAATGGCCAGGACCAAGGCATCTGCCTAGCCTCATTGCCAAGAAGAAAGTGTTTAATCTGAGGTCAAATCTTCTAGAGTTCTTAGAGTTTTATGTTTAGCTTCCGCCTTGTGAAGAGCATTTTGAAATTTTAAAAGATCTTGATTTTTACACTCATTTCTTGTGCATAGAATTAAATTAGATTTAGCTTGTAGGAAGAACAATAACGTTTTATATATATTTTCTTAAACAGAA